CTTTGGGTAAGTAATTTCATCTCCCAGATACTTAGCAATCAGACTTCAGTAAATACAAACAGAACGAGTAAAAGAAAATATAAAAATTGAAGATTAGGCAAATGATACAAAAACATAAACATGGGGAATCAGGTGGAGTATTCCACCACTATAACTGAATTAAAATTTATGAATTTCACTTCCTCCTTTCCTCTCTGTTTCATCTTTTTTCCTTCCCCGCCTCCCTTTCTTCCTTTCTTCTGGCTTGTCTTCTGCTCTCTAGCCATGAAGAAGGAGGCAGTAAGAGAATAAGACCTACACCCAGGGAAAAGAAGCTCATCACAGAGACAAGTTGGTGCTGCCTAAGAATTTGCCCTGGAGCTCAACATCTCTAAACTGTACCTCTTTCAAGAAGCAAAGAAAACAGATGGTATTTTCTAAGAGTATCTACCTAGTTTTATCCCTTTTCCCTTAACTATATGTCTCTCATTTCAATAGGACTGAAATTGGCAAAGTAGGGATTGCCATTTTTAGCTACAGGTCATTTGTAACTTGGGATTTAAATGGAAACATAAATAGGCTGAAGTCAGTCCAAATGACAACAGAAATAAGACTAAAAATCTGGAAGTATGTCCACATAAAACAGAAAAAAGGTTTAACTGAAGGCAGAATTCATACTAAGATAGATGAATTTGAGGAAGATGAGATTGTCACCAACAATGGAAGTGAACAACTTGAAAAGACAACTATACATCTGCACTTGGTTATTCTGAAAGTCTGCTACTCTATAGGGGTCAGATCCTATTAGTTCCCATATGACTACCAATTTCAAGAGAGATGCCTGGAACAAGGTCTCTAGGCTGTCAGCACAATTTCAAATCATGCCATTAGAACACAAACTTGTTGGTCTTCACAATTCTTTCGTTTGTAGCAGTCCTATATCTAAATGAAGATTTTTAAGAATCATTTAACATTTTAACAAGATTTTTAACAGCCATATTTGTATTTCCTCTAAGAAATCTGCATTACATTTTAGCTCCCCTCTCCAAAGTGGATACAGCTCTATAAGAGATGGTGGAAATTTGGGATTTTCTAGATATATAGCTATATATTAAGTGAACTATTAGCTTTGCAGTTCAGTTGTTCTGGTTTTTATATCTCATTCTCCCTATTAGGCAACTAACCAAATTCCTCTTGCTACCTTGTAGTTCTTAAGTATTATTTCCTCTTTTGTCCTTCCCAAAGCAGCTCTGGTTGCTGCAGACTTTTACCATCCCATCTTCCTTCTGATACACAGAATTCATTCTCCAAAAGTTCTAGCTTAAGTCCCCAGTTACTCTAATTGAATAAAATATTTGGCACTCATGACAAATGTGACATAAGAATTGTCTCTTTACATGTATCATTACATATATATATATATTTTACATATTGAATAATATTAAATAATAAATACATATCGATTATATCTCTCAAAATCATATACCAATTAAATATAATGTTCATATATATATATTTGGTTATTTAAACTGTATCTATTGAATATTGATTGTACACCATGGACTATGCAAGCAGTTTTATATATGTTATCTCCTATTCTCAGTCCCCAATGCCATCTTTACCTATGGTCCTAGAGGTACACATGGTCATTTCTTACCTCTCAAATAGTCCTCAAGAAAGTATCAAAAAAAATATAATCTTCCAGGATACTAAGATTTAACATATTAAAACAAAGATATAAAATATAATAAGAAGCCAGATAATATAAACAGTTTTTATAGTTTTTGGCTGATGATCCTCATGGTGAGTTATATCTCATAGTGCTAGGTAAGCAGTTGTGCTTTCTTTAGACAAAGAGTGATTAACGTTGGATTTCCATGTTACCTTACAGTGGTATCAGGAAAGAGATAATTGGTCAAAGGACATGTTACTGGCTTCCAATCACAACAACAGGCAACTTTCTGTTCTATCACTAAGGAAGGTCAGCCATAGATAAGCATGCACTAAGATAAAAAAAACAACTATGAAAACAACAGCCTTTTTCCACGGCTGCAGTGTGTATGAGATAGAAGTTAGACTAACGCAGAAAAGCAGCCTTTTCTAAGTGAGTAGGTCCAGTAAAAACCACTAGCTTTTAAAATAAGGAAGAAAGTAGGAGTGTGCAAATTAAATAAAGATAAGTTGTTAAAGGTTAACCAGTTTCTCCTTGTGGTGTTATAAGCAAATGCATAGTCATTCTCTGGTTCTACAATATTTGGATGTTTTATTTCAGTCACATAGTGGGAGCTGAGAACAACTGTGGGTAAACCAGACACAAAATACCTTCACAGAACATAAGCTAAAACCTAGTCCCTTAAACTTTCAGTGTTGAATCATATGTTACGTCTGGACCATGAATGTGAAGAATGCCAAAGTAGTTCTGGTATTGCCAAAATTTAGTAAATACACACACACACACACACACACACACACACACAGAGAGAGAGAGAGAGAGAGAGAGAGAGAGAGAGAGGCAGAGACAGAGAGACAAAGACAGAGAGACAGAGAATGAGAAAGAGAGAGAGCACAGAAGTATCTTGAAAACATACTGTCATCATTGGTAGTTATGCTTCTTATGATTACTCAACAAGTAACTAGACATTTTAGGAGCTTAGTATGTCCATTTCCTATTCTCTATTTCTGTTAATTGAAATTCTAGACACAGAATGTCTAGAATCGCGGGATTCTCTGCTGAATGTCTCACGTAGTTAGAATCAAGACTTTGGTTGGGCTATATTCTCATCCATAGAGAACTCAAGAGTCCTCTTTCAAGTACATTGAGGCTGCTGAAAGAATTTATTTCCTTGAAATTGTGTAACAGAAGTCCTTGTTTTCTTGCTGTCTATCAGTGGTGTTTGTCATGGTGAAGTTCCTAACCAGCACATGAATCAATCAATGAATCAACTTTTTCTCTTTCCCTGTATTTCTCCTTCTTTCTGTCTCCCTCCAGTGGGCTACAAAGGAGTCTTACTGTAACATAGTCCTGGACAATGAGTCATTATCCAATTGTACTCCCAAGTCCTACTCACAGTTAGGACTTGGGAGGAAACTATGCAGTGTATGGGTCAGGACAATTGTGGAGGTCATCTTAAAATTCTGTTTACAAGATTTAATCAGAACAAAAGATGAACTATAAAATACATGATTGAGGAAAGAGGAAAATGTTCCTCATTTTTAGAACCTACAGATTAAATATAAAAAGTCTCAAACTCAGAACAGGATTTTCTGAGAGAGGGAGGGAAAAGTCTATTAATAAACCTATACATGTCAACCCAAAATTTCAAGAAGACATGCAAGTGTCAATCCCAAAGTATTTTTTGACTTATGCCTAAATGAGATGTAAATTTCTATACATAGAAATAATATAGTTGGGAATTACCACTGTATAACTATATAAAGAGATAAGTACCCCAGTTTTAGAAACTCAAAAACATAATTTCCCATGAAACTACCCTCTTTTAAACCACTGCACTGCTTCTTGTTAAAGTATCTGTTAAGTGACTACAAAATAGTAACAAAGCATTCTTTACAAAGAGAGTAAAATGCAGTATTTCAATTGTAACACTTATGCTTTCTGGACTAGAAATAAAATACGATGTTCAAGTTTAGATTTGGGGTGCAGAACATTCTGTCTTTTGTGCAGGTGACATCAAATAGCAAAGTGATAGGATAATCACTCCCCTGATTGCATTTTATTGCATAGGACTGCCTTAGAAATGCAGGAATATTCACCTGGTGGCTTTGGGAAAGTAAGCATTTTGTCATGAGAAGATCGTGTGGCCTTGATGGAACTTTTAGGAATTGAGAGTGACCCCAGGAAGACATATGGCCAGGAAATAGAGATTTAAGACCAATGGTTGAAAGATGGGTACTTCCAACAACTTGAAAGACATTTGAAAATTAATCTGAATCTAAGAAAAGATCATATCCAGGTGCACCTTGATTTTGGCCTGGGAGACTCTCAGCCGGGGAACTGGCTCATCCATCATGAGAAACCTGAACAATGGAAACTGTCCAATCATACATCATGCTACTTTAAGCCGCTTGCTCTATGGTGACACTGAATATAGTATAGTGTGAGAAACATGCCTCAATGGCACAATAGCATCACTGCATACTGGCTGGCCAGGCAAGAAATTCCAAGAACTCTGAGACAGAAGTGATCCAAGAAGCTGATCTGTTATACAGCCAAGAACAGCTGACCCAAACGCCACAACTGGAGCAAAAGATATGGGTGGACGTGACCACAAATATCCCACATTAAAAAGCTCTGCAGAACTGAAAATCAGACACACCATCTCCAACAAAGGATGAAGATTCTGCAGAACTTCAGCTGGAACAGTGTGGTCTCCCACCCGACTTTGAACTCACCCTGAACACCTGCTCAATGAGTGACTTGGACTGAGCATGTTTTCATACTCATGAGTGACTCAGAGTGGAACCTTATACCTGTTTGTGTGTGCCTTATGGAATAAGCATCTGATGTGTAAATAAATCATGCATTGGAAACAGAATTTCTGTCTGTTGCCTGATCTGTTCTCATTCCTTACTGTACTACACTGTACTATACTATACTGTACTATACTGTACTGTATTATACTATCCCTTACTGTACTATAGAAAATTAACATGTGAACAATTTGATAAATAAACTAACAGGTAAAATTCATTTTAGGAACTTTCTGCACTCATATCTCTCAATAACTAAATCCCAATTGGTCTTATCTAGTGGGAACTGTATTTTCAGACATTATAAAGTTTAGAAAATTAAAATTTATCTAAAAATAAGCAAATATTTTTGTGGTACTTTAGAGCACTATAAATGACAAACCAAAACAAAAACTCCTTGATGGACAAAAGAATGACAAACCAGTGGAGATTTAATCAAATAACTCTAATAAAGTTAAAAGAAAGCCTAAATGATTAATAATGGTATATGTTACATGTATACATATATATGCACAGAAACAAAGCAGACTTACTGTGAAAGTTGTTCACTAAGACTCGAGGATGATAGAATCCTGCTTTGCAAATGCACTCATAGGCTCCAAGTACAAATCCTAGGCCTTTAATTGGCATACACTATAAAAAAGAAAAGAAGCACTATAGTTGATCATAGCTTATTTCACAGTATGAAGACTCACAGATATCAATCATTGCAAATGGTAACAGAAGTAACACATTTTCCAGAAATAAGTATCTCTTTTTGAACTTTTACTTTGGGTTTGTTTGCCAACAGACTTTTTTTATAAGTAACAAACTGAGTTTTCTTTCTAAATATATAAATTACAGCTGCAGCTGCCATATATCTTTAACTCATTCAGATGCCACGGAGAATGATTAGCAGAGAGAGTCTTTGTTTTTAATGCTGCACATATCATCTGTTTCTTTAGGAAATATTTCCAAAACTTGTAAGAATATCTTCAAAGCTATTCCACACTAAATATTTCTGCCAAAACAAAGGTAGGTAGGTAGATACACAGAAGTTGGAATATGGAAATTAAATATTCATCAAATTTCATGCTTGGACCTAAATAACACAAATTATTGGAACAAAACAAGTAAATTTAAAATGCAAATACAGAAGAAAGCAAATGAGTGAATGATTTCAGGGGCTTTGTATCTAAACTTTGTTTCAAAGATAAATGTTCTACATACGCATAAAGAGAAGAAAGATATGATAAACTTTCTGAATGCACTGACCCAAGAGACAATAAACCTTTCCCAAAATATAATCTTGTCTTTTTTCATATCTATCACTTAACTGAAATAAAATTGAGCTTGGTTTCCGTATACTTCATTTTTGTTATAGTCAATTACTGAAGTAACTAATAACCTCTACTAAGCTATGAGCACTACATCAGTAAATGAGTATTTTCAGAATCTAGTTAACTTTCAAATTTCTTTTCTGAGATTTATGTAGAATCAATCTTCCATATTTTTGCCATTATAGACTACTATAATAATTTGAAACTTAGTAGATTTCACTTATAATATGGTCCTCTGAAACTCAAGGGAGAGAAAAACTTAAATAACTTGAACAATAAATTTACAATCTAAACATAAATTACAAGCATCAAGATCAATAATAAAAAATCCAACAATAGAAAAAACTATATGACATAATGCAAGCCAATACATATTCTAAAGTTAAAAGTGTAACAAAAACATCTTTGAAGAATAAAATTCTAAATGACCTTAACTTTTATTTCATGAATATTCCCTTTCATTTAATATGCACTTATATGAAATTATGCCTTAGTTCTTAACCTAAAGCAGATTAAAATGGCAGGCAAATACTATTTAATTCAACTGAGTTAGCAAGTATTTACAAAGAAGTGCCATGTGCCTAGAGATTTCCTACAAGATCTAATTGAAACAGCATAAAATGTTATGAAACCAATCAAATTATACTTCTGAATTAATAAAGAACAGTTATATCATTTGCTTTGAAATAGTACTAGTATTATAAAAAGAATATTGTATATAATTTATGGTATGTCAGAAAATATAGATTAGAATTCTGACTTTATCACTCCCTAACATGCAAATTCGATGTTTTTTTCTCTTAATCACTCTAACTTCCTCCTCTTCTTCTTAATTTATAAGAACACTCATTCAGAGAGACTCAAATGTTGTCTGAAAAAGACAGATTCACCAAGATGTCTTAATGGGGTAAATATAGTGTGTAAGAAGAAAAAGCAAAGCAAAGATGGTCCCAAGGGTTTTTTTTAACCTCTAAAACCGTAAGTATCTATCGTAGTTGCCGTAGAATGAGCTAGGAATGGCCTTAGATAGAGTGAATTCAGGGGAAAGACCAAAAGTTTAGTTTTTTAGATGTTATCTGTGGAAGTACCTATTTGAAATTTAATTCTAGATATCAACTAGGAAGCTGGATAAACTGGTATGTAGTTTAGGAGAGATGTCTAAGCTGTATAATTTTAAAATATCATCTGCATAAAGATGCCTGACAAGCCTGTGAGATCAGACAAGGCTAAGTCATTAAAGGAGCCGCTAGAAACGGAAGAAAATAAGATTAAAGCCATGAGAACAATGTGGCTGCAACACTGGTCACACAGTAATGACAGCGTCGATGTAGCTGATGGGGCCGACTGAGCCAGTGTTGTCTTCTCTCTGTCACTCCATGAGGGTCTTTCCTGTTCTGAATGTGACTAGAGCAAAGATGAGGAGCTTCCCCAGTAGAGAAAAGCCACTCTGCAAAGAAGGACCATTCTGCACTCCCCTCCCAGAACCTCACACATGCTGGCAAGGAAACGGTCCAATCTGAGAAACTCGGAACATTCCAGCACTAAACCGTCAGGTGAAAGGAAGAATGAAGAGAACTTTAGGGAGCCATCAGCATTGCTTTTTACACTCAGATACTCTAAACATAACATCTGAGATTTGTTATGTTAAATCTACTAAATATTCACCCAACAGATTTATCTAAGTAAATTAAGTCTTAGAAACCAAGGCTAAAATAAAGTACTTAAAATATTTTGCTTCACTGGAATCTGAAGGTTAATGCTATTCATTAAAATAGCACTAATTTCCTGATGATATGACTCAACCCTGCAGTGGTGACTCAGTTGAGAATTTTAAATGCTTAGGGCAAAGCTGAAAATAAAAGTATCTCTCAGCTATTAAGTTAAGTCTAGAGCTGACATATAACCGAAGGTTAAAAAAGTCTAGTTGATGAGACAAATATTGTCAAATAAAAAGCTGTTTGCATTTAAAAGGAAATGATTCACCAACATGAACTACTAGTCACCTCAAGGTTTTGTTTGTTTGTTAAATTATCTCAATTTCAAAGGAAAGCAAAAGTTTCCAGTCAGTTAAAATTAGTAAAGTGTATCATCCTCCTGTACTCACTTTAACTCCATGATGCCGAGGACTACATGAAAACTAATGTGATTACGTGTTTGTCTTAGAGTGAAAAAGGATGTTGGCTTATTTTTCTATTAAGAACTGTAAATTTGCATCCAACTTGCCATACTTTTTTGGTCTATCACCACCATTCCCTAGCTAGATGATCTCCATTATCTTCCAACAAAATTTAAATATTTTCAAATTTAGTATGGTCCATCTAGTTTTTGAAAGTTCCTAAAAGTATGGTGCATACTTAACTAATATTTCACTTTTGGGTTAGAAGAGCTATTTTTATACATTTTTCTCCTTAGGAATTCAGAATAGAAATATAAATCCAAAATTCAGGAAAAAATCTCATGATTTTATTTAACATTGATTTAAGCTCTTCAATTTAAATACTAACGTCTAAACCTTGCTACTATATTTTCACAGAAGTCAAAGAAGGCGGAGCTGGAAAAGGCAGACTCTCTGAAGGTAGCTGCTCCCTGAGGAACCTGTGATAAACACTGAGTGAGCTTTTTCATGTGGAATGGAGCACCTCTAAGAGTCAAGAAGCTGTATACCTTTTTTGATGAACCTTATAAAATCTTCAGCAAAATTTTCTTAAGGGGAACTATTAAGAATTTATAATCAAATCTAGGTTTCTGGGAGGAGACTAGATCCCAATGGGTAAGAGATGGTGGTCAAGAGTTCAGAGTAAAATGAATAAAATTCCTAGAAACATACAATCTACCGAGACTGAATTGTCAGGAATTTTTTTAAAAACATAAGAAGACTATAACAAAGAAATTACAGTATCAGTAATTGAAAATCAGTAAATCAGTAATTGAAAACCTCCTGACAACAATACTCACTCAGAATTTGCTGCCCTCACTGGAGAACTGTATTAACCATTTAAAGAATAAATAAAAATTGGTTGTCAACAACCTGAAAGGAAAATTTTAAAACAATCCCACATTCAATAATATTGAAAGGAAAAAAAAATTAGGAACAAAACTTAATGATGAAGGTGAAAGAATTACATACTAAAAATTATAAAACACTGATGAAAGAAATTAAAGAAAATAAAATAAATGGAATTATATCCAGTGTTCATCAGGACAGTAGATAGGAAGGCTTAATATATCAAATGTTTGCAATATCTAAAGTGATCTATGGATTCAGTGCAATCTCAATCAAAATTTTAACAGCATTTTAGACAGTTTTTCAAAATCCCCTCAAATTATATGGCATCTCAATTATTCCAAAGAGCCAAAATAATCTTAAAAACTAAGAATGAAGTTGGAGGTAACATACTTCTATCTTTCCAAACATAGTACAAGGCTATGGTCACTGAAAGCACAGGACACGGCAGAAAGACATGTACTCCAAAGGAACAGAATGAAAGCGCTGAACTAAATTTTCACAGACAATGTGACCTTTTACAAAAGCACCAAGACTACTTACTTGATGGTGATAAGCCCATCTTCTAATACCTGATGTTGGGAAAACTCTATCCAGTTTGAACTTTTCTACATGTAAATATAAGAAGTTGAATCTTTCCTTGACACCATATTAAAAAAAATTAAAATGCTTAAAACCTAAACATCAGACCTAAAACCACAAAACTTCTAGAAAGAAACTATGGAAAAATTTCATGATATTTGATTTGAGAATAATCCTTTGGACATGATACCAAAACTACAATCAACAAAATTCAAAATAGAAAAAGGTATTTTATCAAATTTAGAAATTTATCTGCAGCAAGGAAAACAACAGAATGAAATGTGAGAAAATTATTTTTGGATCATACATTTGATAAGGAGCTAATACAAAGAATATATAAAGAATTCCTAAAACTCAAAGACAAAAAAACCTTCTCACAAACAATTCAATTAAATAATATGAAAAATACTTACATATTTCACCCAAGAAGTAAAATGGTCAACGAACTAATGCAAACATTCAACATCATTGACCATATGGTAAACATAAATCAAAAGCACAGCTTGATTTTACCTCACACCCATTAGAAGCTTTACTATAAAAAAGAGGGATGTTTTTATGAGGATGTGAAGAAGTTGAATCCTTGTGTACTCTTCTTTGAAATACAAAAGAGCGCAATCACTATGGGAAAACATGTGAAATTATCTTTAAACATTAAAAATATAATTGTCATATTATTCTATAATATCATGCCTGGACATGTGCCCAAAAGAATTAAAAGCAAGGTC